CTCCCCCACCAACCTCCTCTTCTCGCGTGAGGGATATAGTATTACATAGTTGTTTCAAAGAATGGAGCATCTCATAGGGTATTAGGAGAAGATAGTCAAGCACACATAAAGTTGATCCATATTGCATTATATTCATCACTTCTCACAACAAATACTAGTTTTAGCTTTGGTCTATGGCCACATGCCGATTGTCAAAATTGCCACTTTTGATTTGAGTTTTCAACAGTGGACTATTGGAAACTATACAAACACTTTAGACCTCATCCCTTCAATTTGAGTTCACTGTTACTTGCTACATGAAAGGAATGAACAAGATACAAGCCCAAACAAATAATTCAGTTTCACTATTTACAGCTATAAGAAAGACAAACACAGAGCCAAGATATACAAAAGGCTGCTACATTATGTCCATGAACTACGTTACACCAAGAACTCTGCATCTGTTTCTACAACTGCTCTAGCGGACGACAATCTCCCTAGCCTATACAAGTACTTCTGAACCAACATTATCACAGAAACAGAAAGATCATAGCACAAGGTGTTTTCTATAATACAGACAGAACCTTTAGAAATGGAAGTGCAACCACATTCACAATATAATCTTTCTTTCCACTAATCAGCTTTCCATGAATTCCACTTTCTGCTCTCTTTGAACATCAGAGAACAACTGCCTGTGATAGATGTCTATACATGCTACCTTTCGGCTTATTTACAATTGTTTAACCTCACTGAAACCTCACTATGATAGCCTAAAGCTTCGAAGGATTTTATAAGAGCAAAGAACCAAGAAAGTCTAGTAATAGCAGGAAATGCATCTGGGCTAAGAAGGAAGCATATTTTTCATCCATGACTTGAGAAAGTAGTTGACAGCATAGAGGAGAATTCTTTGACTCTTTCAAATGAACATCAACATGCAAGGGACTGAAACTCCCAAACTTCAACGAAAATTTGTTAAGCACCCACAATACTCAAGCACACATGCATAAAGATTATCACCCACAATGTTATGCACCAACTAATGAAATTAATATGTAGATGAAGCACGAAGTAACCATTTATCCAGAAACCAACCTCCTAAGATTGTTAATCCTAGATCATTTACTTCAAATATAACACACCACATAGCAGCACCTTCCTGTTAAACACATAAAATAGAGTCACTTATCTTTGAAGTTCATAAAAATTAGAAGATAAAAGTAACTTGGCTATATGACCTTTTAGTAGAAGATGTTTAAATACAAAATATGCAGGTTCTAACACTCACCAAAAAGCCCATATGAGCAAGGTAGTCTGCTGGTCTTAAATCCATGGATGCATCACCAGCAAAGTTTAGAGACACTGGAGGAAAAATATCCTCGATGCTGTTTGAGGAATAGGGGGACATGCTCAAGTCACCAAAGAGGTGTGTATAGACCATTTAAGTTCTTATAACTACGATTAAACATTCATTGAAAACAAAAAAACAACCTTGAAGAAACTAGATAGCACGGCCTTTTCCCTGATATGATTGGCTTGGCTGAAGGTGAGACAATTGCAGTTATCTGCAGATGAATAAGTTAAAACAAAAGTAGAGAGAACTTGTTAATTAGTGATGCCCATCTGATCTGCACATTTTAGTGATTCGACTTTGCTGTTTCTCAAAGTAACTCCAAGAAGCAAGAAGGATTCAAACTTCACCAAAGATCAAGGATCCTATATAGAGATTTTCTATATCCATTGTAACTTAATCATAATGTTTTTTGAATATTTTGTGCTGCTCTAGCATGTCTTTTTTTTTTTTGATGACAAGGGAAACCAAATGTCTTTATGAACTAAATACCTTCTATTAGGATTTAGATAGATTCTTTTTTGGAGGTTTAATCATTATATTTTCTTGATTATTATTTAAATTGACTTCTTCTGGCAAGAATTGTTTACGTAATTGTACTTTTGATGATTTTGATTACTTGATCACCAATTAAATTGCCAAGGTAATTTAAGTTTACCAGGAAGAAGGAGAATTCAAGTCTAAAACCTGAATTGGATAGCCTTTGATTATACGGAGTCCGTTGATTATATTTGATTAATACTGACTAGAATCCCCACCGGAAAAGATGGTGATTATATAGGGGACAGATATATACCACTGACCTTAAGCATTCATCTTTAGATCAAGACTAATTCTGGATTATAATCGTAGCCTATGGTCCATAGGTATAACTTATAAGTTAATGGGCAAATATAACAGGTTCACTCAACAAAGAAATATAATTGTGGAAATTAATTTAAGAATGTTGGAGCAAATCGGGAAAAAAAACACTTACAGCACTGATAAAGGGTTCATAAGCTTCTGACGCAAGATAAACTAAAGTAGTACCAGAATCAACAATAGTTCCTCGATCATTAGAGGACACAAAAACTCCTGGATCAACAGGTAAAATTTGCCCATTAACAGCAATGCTCTGCAGATATACAGTGTAGTGAACCCTGCACGATTGGAGAAAAGAAACAAATAGATGACACCTCAACGATCCTCTTTCTGAGTACACACTATTAACAGTGCAAATAACTGATTGGAAGCACAAGCATGTCGGAGAACATCAAAAACTATCAAAAGTGGAATAAGTGTTGAGTACATGAAAGTAACCTATATGTTTGGGTAAGTTACATATAGTTACCTATATGTGAAGAGCAATCCATCTGGCATTCAAAACTAAATTGATGGATATATTGAAAGATTTTCACGTATTGATGTTGCCACCATATTTACATGTAGACTACTTTGAGAAACATAACACATCTTGAAACACCAAATAGAATACCAAGCCCTTGGACTGTTGTCTTATATCAAGAGCCTAATGTTGCTTAATCTCTACCAAGCTCTTGGACGGTGGATTGATATCGAGAAGGTAATGCTGCTTAATCACTTCTTCTCTCTTTCTTTTTCTGAGAAGGTGGGAATGTTG